GAGATAAGAGTCTCATACACTTTCTTGGCTTTGAATTGCAGCTCTCAGATCTCAACCTCCTGAGTAGCTTGGATTACAGGTATGAGCCACCAGTGCCCAGCTTGAATCAATTGTTTTATTTTATATATGTATTGAAAGGATAAGATGAAATCAAAGCATAAAGTTGAAATTTGTAAATATTCTTTCCCCAGTCTGAATCAATGTAGGATACTATACAAAGTGCCATAGAAAGGGTGGGTTACACACAATAGAAAGTTATTCCTCCTACTTGTTCAGGCGGGAAATCTTTGTTCAAATGCCTTGATTCCAACAAGGACACCTTTGTAGATGGCAAACTCCCCACTTCTGCTATTACATAGAAGAAGCTAGGTGAAGAGCTCTCTCCAGTTCCTTTTATAAGGGCTGCAATCCCATTCCCAAATATACCACTTCCTAACATCATCATATTTCAATATATAAATTTGGGAGATACAGAAATATTCACTACAAAACACATTTCTGTATATAAATTCAACCTTACAATGATTTATTTCAGTATCTATTTTCTGATGTTGATTTATCTTTCTCCTAAGATTTCATATGTATATTTTATAAGTGAGATTGCATAGTCCTTTGTCTTAGCACACTCTACTTGTTCAGTTATACTCTGAAATTTTTATAATAATTTTTATAACATGCTTCTGCTTTTATCTATTTTCTGGTAGAATTGATATTCATTATTCCTTAAAATTTAGGAGAGCAGTTTGACATCCATGTTTAATTTTGAAATATATTTTTCCATATCTAAATTTATAGTTTTATAATTATTTTTTATTATTGACATAATTTACTTGGTGTCAAAAGACCTAAATGTTAAATCAATAGTTGGCAAGCTTAATTTTTCATTCTAGTTGAGAAAAATCTGAAATATTTGTGGATGAAATGTGCTCTGTGTGCCCTTTAAAGTTATTTTCTGTGTGAATTTTCCTTGTTCTTATTAAATTGTTGTTGTTGTTGTTGATTGGCTATGGGGCTTGAATTCTCGGCCTGGGAGCTATACCTCAGCTCTTCAGCTCAAGGCTAGTGCTCTACCACTTGAACCACAGCACCACTTCCAGTTTTCTGGTGGTTAATTGGAGTTTCACAGACATTCCTGCCTAGGCTAACTTTGAAACGTGATTCTCAGATCTCAGCCTCTTGAGTAGCTAGGATTACAGACATGAGTGACAAGCACACAGCTTATTAATATTTTTATTGATAATTTTACTTAGCCTTTCGAGGAGGTATATTGAAATATAGCCTCATTGTTTAAGATTTCCTACATTCTCTGGATCAAGTTTTCTTTTGTAACAAGAGAGAAACAAATTTAATTTTTAAATTTTTAACCCAAAAAGTGATTATCACATGAGATACTCCAATGACATATAACTCAAAACAATGTCTTGAAACTTGGGGTTATACAGAATCTTCAAAGAATAATACATTTTAGCCATGTGCCTGTAGCTCAGACCTGTAAATCTAGCTACTCAGCTAACTGAGGTCTGAAAAAAAAATCAAGATTCTGTGAGACTTATCCCCAATTAATCAGCTAAAAACTGGAAGGTATGGCTCATGAGGCAAAGCACCAGCCTTGAGTGCAAAAGCCAAGCAAGAGTGTGAGGCCCTTATTTCAAACCCCAGTCCTGGTGCAGCATGTACAGGTATGTACACACACATACATACATACATACATACATACACATACACACACACACACACACACACACACACACAAGAATAATATATTTTAGAAAAGTGACAAGATAGAAAAGTTTAGTTAGAGAGAATCAAGAACTCAACTGTGAGAAGAAAAATATACAAGGAAGCTAAAAGTAAATAGACATGTTTAGTAAAGTTTATTGTGGAGAGTCTTCTGTTGCCATATTGTAGTGTACATCTTTAACATTCAAGGTTTGGCCAAAACACAACAATGTCCAAAGGTGGTGACCTTTAGAATGTGACTGAATCATGAGAACAGGACTTTGTGGGTTAGTTTGTGGATTTGTATCTTAATGAGCTTGTGGAAATTGATTTAGTATAACAAGGAACTTTCTCTTACTCCTGGCCACCGTGAGTTGAGGAGCTTTCTTCTATCACATACTTCCCTCTATAACGACCCAGAAACAAATGAAACAAGTAGGCACAATGCATGAATCTATGAATCAAAATCAACTGTTCCTCCCTATAAGATATCTCAACTATTTTGTCACAGTGGCAGAAAGTTGACAAATTATTATATTTTTGTCCATTTTTGCTTTATATAATGTGAAAATACATTACTTAATGTCTACTCTTCAAGATGCTAGAGCTTAATGGCAATACAACGTTTAGGCATTAAATTGTTTTAAGATGATATTGTTCTTTTATTGATTACAGCTACACCATCTGTCTTTGGGTTAGTACAATTTGAAACATTATAGGTATGACTCATTTCTAGGCTCACAAGTAAGATAACTTTAAGCTAGTAAAACCTGTAATCAGAGCTATAGAAAAACAATCAGTCTTTATGAACCTTTTTGAGATTTGGCTATGATAATCTTGAATATCCTTGCCAATCTTTATATTCCCCATTTTAAAATCTTTTCTATTTAGATTAATACTATTTGAGAGGTCTTCATTTATCCAAATTTGCATTTGGCTAGTCCATGATGTAATTCTATATCCCAAACAAAAGAGGACATCCTAAACCCATCCTATTATAAACAGCACACAAAACCAAACCTGGGTTTCATTGTAGTTATACAAACAAACTATTCAGATTACTTTTTTCTTAAATTTTTATTCTTTTGTAAAATCTTTGTGTCATGTAATGGGTAAATGGAAACAGAGTTGAAAGTGTGGTGTGAGGGAAAAGGAGTTTATCTCAGCAGAAGGCAATTTAAAATAGTGCCTGTCCTATATTCTGTTTTCTCACCAAGTGAATTTCATTTGAAGGCTGTGGGCCAGGAGGCTAATTAGAAAGTATGACAGAATATAATAATTAAATACTCATGTTCACATATCTTTCTACATGGTGCAGTAGAAATTTAAAACTAGAAAGAAGTCTTCAGGACCTATAATTTTACAAATAGAAAATTTAACTTCAATTTACCTGATTATCAATATCAATTTTATGTGAAATATTCTTATATATAGCTATTTATTTCTAAGTTCTTTTATCTAGAGCATACCAAGGAAATCCTACACCCTGTTTATTATTTTAGGCAAATTATGTATTTTTTAATCTAAGTATTTATTTTGTTTACATCTCAAATTTTTATTAGTGTATCAAATTTATTTGATGCATTAAGTATCTTTTCAAAGATACTTTCCATTATAACCATAGAAACTTTCTTCTTATTATTTTTTATTAATTTTTATTTTGGGTGTTAGTACAGGAGTGTGATTCCAGGACTTTCTTGGCTTAGCTTGTTCAGTTAACACTTACCATTTACGACATACCTCAGCCCTGATTTTATTTTTTCATAGGTTTTGTAAATGTCTTTGAACCACTATCCTCCTGATATCAGCCTCATGAGTGGCTAAATTTACTGGCCTGAATTCTATCCTTCTGAATTTTATCATTTTCCTCTCCCTGGGCTTGACACATGTTGAGCTTTTGATAAGTTTGAGTTTCACATTGAACACAATGATTACAAATTAAGAATATTTATATTATAAATTTATATTTATTCTACTCCAGCTGGATTCCCTTCAAACACTTCTCTAATCCATGTGGCTTTAAGAATTTAAGGGACATATATTAATTTCTGTGTTTTGATGGTAATATTCTTACTAGTTTTAAATATACTTGAAATTATATGATAATCAGAATAAAAGAACTCAGAGTAAGACACTCCATAGAAGAAAAGTTACCAAAATATGGAAGTCAATACATCCTGTAGATATCCCAGTATCTTGTAGCACATAGTACATAAGTTTAAAAAAATCTTCATAATCATCTAAACTAGAAGTTGACAAAATATGGTCTCCTATCTAATTAGCTTTAACAAAGGAAGGTCTCAGAAATAGTAAGAACTCTGTTCAGAAGTGAAGGTAATGCATCATCTTCTGTTGACTGTCTTCTAAGTAACAATAATGAACAATCATACTTGGGATCCATTCATCTAGTCGATCCTTCACACTTTTTTTTTTTTTTTTTTTTGTCGGTCGTGGGGCTTGAATTCTGGGCCTGGACACTGTCCCTCGGTTCTTTAGCTCAAGGCTAGCACTCTACCATTTGAGCCATAGCACCACTTCCAGTTTTCTGCTGGTTAATTGGAGATAAGAGTCTCCTGGACTTTCTTTCCCAGGCTGGCTTTGAACCTTGATCCTCAGATCTCAGCCTCCTGAGTAGCTAGGATTACAGGCATGAGCTACCAGAACCCGGTTTCCTTCACTCTCTTTTTGAAATACAGAGCAATATTGTAACTCCTTATTTCCTGATTATTTTGAACCTATGGCTTTCCTTAGGTTACACAGATGCTCAGTAAGAGATCCAGGACAAGAATTAACAAGCAGGGGAGACCGGAGGAAGATGATGAGGGAGAAGCTGTAGGCTAAACAAGCTCTCCCATAGAAAACAGTTTTAGTATGCTTGGTAAGAAATGTACGCATTATCCTGCCCATGTAATTGTAACCCCTCTGTACAGTATGTTCACAAATAAAATTAAATTAAATTTAAAAAAAAAACCCAGAAGTGGACCTGGGGCTCAAAAAAAAAAAAAAAAAAAACAGTTTTAGTGTTCTAGTGAACAGTCCTAGGCAAGATTATCACACCACTTTTGCCATCTTACCACAGAGATTTTGGCCAGAGAGGGAAAATCCAGACAGCTTTGTCAAAGAGACAGATCTGAGTACTTGCCTGTAGCCTCAGCTGCAGCAGCTGTGGCAGCTGCAATACCAGCAGAGGAAGTCCCGGACAAGGCACCAGACACAGCATGTCCATGAACCAAGACTCTGGTGTGAGTAGAACCCTGACATCCTCACTCCTTCTCACAGAGCAGCAGTGGGAAGGCAGCTCCTTCCTCACCACCAAAGAAGATCTCCATCTCTGATTCTGACAAAGGCAGGGCTGAGCAGCTAGCTCCAACCCAGGCCTTGGAAAAAAAACAATTGGAGCCATTAGCAGGTCATGTGAACCTGACCTGACCTGCCAGGCTCAGCTCCACCCAGAGGAAAGTCACCCTGCCCAGGCAGAGGTAACTCCGCCCTCCCCTTAGAATGACTTTTTCACTGGGTAGATAGAGCCAGCAGGCTGCAGCTAGACAAACAGTTGAAACTTAGTAAACATAAACTCTGAGAATGGCTCCAGGCTGGGCTGTCTGAGTGTTTTAGTAGCTAGCCTCTTAGGGAAAAGCTACTAATTACTGATAGGCCTCAACCCTACCCAGAACCTAGCCTCAACACAGCAACTCCAAGCTAGAGGAAACAGCCATCTCCCCTCTTTTGTGATACTCAAAGCAGATCTCCCTCAAACTGAACTAGCCTGGGAGGAGGATCACAAAGTCCTAGGTAAGGCAGAGCTGTCTGCCTGCTCAAACAAACCAACTTAAGAATCATTTGGTTTGGTGTATTTTGATTTCACTTATAATTTTTAAGTGAATGTCAATCTATTTTACTGAATTTTTAAATTTATGAATCAGTGAAGCACAATATTTTGGTCATTAGTTTCCTTACCACAATTTTAACATAGTAGATGCTTAGCAACTATCTATTGTACTGATAAGTGTATTGAGGGTCATTCACATCCTCTGTCAAATCTGGTGGACTATTAATAAACCATTGTTAATGTTAATTCTTCCAATTATATATGTTGACAGGTCATCAAAAGTCATAGGAAGGTAGAAAGAGATGATTTCTTTATCTTCAAGGTTTACTGAAATGTTTCAATTTGAAAATGTATCTATGACATACATTGCATCTGACTCTGATGTACTAGGTTTCTGGGAAATATTGTGTTTTTATTAAAAAATAATTATTAAGAAAGAGTCCTGTATTTCAATTTCTAGTATAGATTGGCATTATTGAAACTATGGCCTTTACAAAAGTATGTATTGTCTTTAAGAAATTAATCAAGTATAATATATCTTGATATATAAAATAATTTCATATACACATAAATCCATCTCATGTCAGCTTTTCCTCTGGGATAATTGAAAGCTGAATTCTAAAAGAACATGTGAAATGTCAGCAGAGTGCCAAAAATACTCCTTTGCTTTGAAGACAATATAAAGGTAGGATATATGGAAAAAAATCAAAGCATCAAAGTATAGACAGAATAAAAAGCAATATGGGGTCTCTATAGTCAGACATCTGTGCTCAAATTCCATTTCTGGTATATACTGGTTATATAACACTGTGCATGTGGCTTCTTTTTCAGTTCAGCAAGATGTTGGAAATAACAGTATATTCTGAGTAAGAATAAGAGTATTCAGTACACATACATGTATTATGTTTGTGTGTGTGTGTGTGAGTGAGAGAAAGAGGGAGGGAGGGTGAAAAAGAAAGAGAGAGAGAGTATTTAAATATAATGTAGCTGCTGGTTTGGGCTTATGCCTGAAATACTAGCAACATAGTAGGATGAGATTGGGAGGATAATCAATTTGAGGCCAGCTTGGGCTGAAATATTTTCTAGATTCATTAAGCACAGAGCACTGCAGTATGGGCCTGTTTTCGGCATGCACACTGACATGGCGGTGTGGGCCTGTTTTCAGCACAGAGTACTGACATGGCAGTGTGTGCCTCTTTTCAGCATGAGCACTGACAGGGTGGGTGTGTCTGTTTTCAGCATAAGCACTGACATGGGAGTATGTAACTGTTTTCCACATGGGTACTGACATGCCTGTGTGGGCCTGTTTTCATGACTGCAACAGGAAGTCTAGCATAGATGGATCACACTTTAGTGCAGCCTAGGCATAAAGAAAAACCCTCTTTCAAACCAAGTGCCTGTGGTTCACCTGTAATTCTCATTAATCAAGAGACCAAAATCTGAGGATGTTGTTGGAAAGCCAGCCCAGGCAGAAAAGCCCCCGTGAGACTCTTATCTCCAATTAACCATTCAAAAACGGAAAGTGGAACTGTATCTCAAGTGGTAGAACGCTAGCCTTGAACACAAAGAGGCTCAGGGACAGCACCCAGGCCCTGAGTAAAAGCCCACAGTGGACAAAAAAATCCTGAATCAAAATTAACCCCCAATAAATATACAATAGCACTGGAGCTTTGGCTTCATGCTGAGTGCCTGCTTAGCAAATGTGGCATGCTCCATTCAATCCCCTGTACCATCAAAGAAATGCATTTAGACACAGATTATACCTGTTATCAGAGAGAATAAAGTAGTAAATTTGGTTCTAAGACAAATTCCATATACTTCCCTAAAAATATGCTCTCTAAATATATATATTTATATATTATATACTATTATATTCATGTATGTTTTATATTTATTATTTATATATTATATTTTTATATATTTATATATACTTATATATTTTATATGTTTGTTACACATTAAAGCTAAAAAATGGTGACAGAATGGGTGGATGACTTGTACATTCAATCAGGTAATCCCAACATTAAAGAGAGAAGGCAGATTTCCCTTATTTCTCATGATAGACTTTTTTTTAATGAACCTAAAAAGAAAAAAAAGCGGGGGGAGACAGTGAATTCTATGGGAAATGAAAATGTTTTTTGAAGATAATCCACACTATAAACAGTGAAGACATACTAGATTTTTCCATAAACACACTGGAAAATTAAGTTGCTTCTGTATACATATTTCTGACTCTGTATAAATACATTATGCAGAAGTGGCTTCCTTTCCACGATTCTAGATATTTTTTAAAAGAAAAAAATAATTACTTGATTACTAAATTAATTTTAGACTAAAAATAACCCACTGGTCACCATTTTTCTCCAAACATTGCTGGAAGTCTCTGCAACTCTGCCGGCCCCACCACCTTTACCAGAACAGCAAACAACACAGCCAAGACCAGGAAGAGTCTCTCAGTGTCTTTGTAGTTTAACAACAAGTTTTTCCATTTAGATTTCATCCAAATTCAAAAGAAAAAGTAAGACTGTTTATTTGAATACTATCTCAGGTCCGAATAATCTTGCAAGAGAAGTAAGGTCAATTACTTATAAAAGAAGAGAACCTACTTTTCATCCCCTATAAACCTTCCAATGAACCTGGGGAAACATAAGCGTTGATAAACCTGGCAGGAAGTAATGTAAAACGGAGCCAATTTCTGTAAAGAATGTGAGACTAGAATCTGAGAATAAAACTTGGGGTTAGTAATGGGGAACAAATTGTTAGGGGATAGCAAACACACAGTAAATGTGTCAGGAAAGGCTGCAGGAAAATGAGGGAGCCCCACAGCTGGCTCCCCAGATACTCTTTTATTCAAAGCAGCCCTGGATCAAACTACTCCTCCCTATCCTCCTTTCCTGGTGTCTCCCCTTCCTAGCGTCTCATGTCTCCTTGGTGTTTACGCCTTGGAAACTACAGCTGCAGAAGAGGAAGGTAGAGAAAGATGAAGAAAATATAGGTAAATGTTGAAAATAATTGTCACTAGAATGACTACAAAGTTGTAGCCCAGGGTCAATCAAAATTAAATCTACTAACCTCTTTATACCTATATAATATTTTAAGCATTTTTTTAAAGTTTTTCACATCTCCTCTATGTCCCTCCCTTTCTCTCAACATATTCACATTCCTCTCTAAATAGATGGTCTTTTAATGTCTATAATAACATTAATTTTTACGTTTCTATTTTTCTTCTGGTCTCTTTTCATTCCCCTTTCCCTTTCTTCTTTTTCTCTCTCTCTCTACTTGCATCCTACCCAACCTATTTCCTGCATTGTGATTAGGACATAGTTAACTCTCCGTGTGCCTCCCCACACCAATCTATTCCTATTTTTTACCCACATCTCTCCCTAACCCTAATAATTTCTGGTTTTCCAAATTCTTCTCTGGGGTTCGAAGTCCTTTAACATATAGTTGTTTGATGTCGAATAGATGTATCTGTTGAACTAGATTGTATCTGTAGACTATTGACTGTACAAATGCAAACTTTGGGTGATGGTTGCCTTAAGATTGTGTTCTAGCACAAAACTGGTGCTATCTTCATCTCAAATGGGCAGAGTAAGCCGGAAAAACACAAGAAAAATGGCAAATTCGGGTATCTCAATTCCCAATCTTGATAATCAGGGGTTAGAACAGATAATGAATAATCCAGAGGAGAGTTCCCAAATAGTTCTACAAACACTGCTGGCAACCATGATAAATGAGAAGTTTGACAACTTACAAAGGACTCTGTATGAGCGTGATAGGGAGAGAGAGGAGGCATCCCAGAAGTTTATACAGGAATATCATAAGCGTGAGGAAGCTACTCAAAAACTGATACAGGATTTGCGTGAACAACTTGAGAATACTCAAAGAGAAAGGGAGGAATGGCGTGAGCAGGCTGAGAACACTCAAAGAGAACTGCAGGAATCCCACGAACGGAAGGAAGCTAATCAAAGAGTAATACAGGAATTGAGAGACCAGGTAGAGAACACACAAAGATCACTAAAGGCATTCATGGAATCCATTAACAAAGAGCTGAAGGAAGTCAGGGAGACAACAAAGGGAATGCTGAATGGAACCCAACAGAAGGAATGGGAGCCCAAAGAAACCATAACCAATCAATTAAGTGATTTGAGGACAAACACTGAACACCAAATTAAGGAAGTAAAGAAATTCATACAAGACCTAAAACAGAGCTTCAACAAAGAACTTGAAGCTATCAAAGCTGACCAATTAGAAGGAAAAGAGATAAAAAACAAAGTAGAGAGTCTTGACAGCAGGTTAGACCATGCAGAAGATCGAATCTCAGGGATTGAAGACAGCCTAGATATTATAGAGAAAGAACATCCAAGACAAGTCCAAGAAATATGATAGATCTATCCAACACCTGGAAGACACCATCAGAAGGCCTAATCTAAGGATAATGGGTGTAGAGGAGCACCTAGAAACAGAAGTTAATGGTCTAGGAAATTTGTTTAACAGGATCCTAGCAAAGAACTTCCCAAACATGCAAAAAGATAGGCCTGTCCAGATACAAGAAGCCTTTAGAACCCCAAATAGACCAGACCAGAATAGGACATCCCACTGTCACATTATAATCCACATAGGATCAACTCAGAACAAGGAAAAGATCCTTAAAGCTGTCAAGAAGAAAAGGGTAATCACCTATAAAGGGAAAACAATTAGAATCACCTCAGATTTCTCAGCAGAGACAATCAAAGCAAGAAGATGTATGGAATGATGTATGCCATGCCCTAAAAACAAACAACTATCAACCAAGAATACTGTACCCAGCTAAACTCTCCTTCATAACTGAAGGCCAAATAAAAACCTTCCATAGCAAAGAAAAATTGAAACAATACATCTCCACCAAACCAGCCCTACAAAAGATTCTTAAAGATGTCCTACACATAGAAAACCAACAAGACCGCAAAAAAGGCCAAGAAACTGCACCCAAACTGAGAATCCAAGAACCATAGGAAGAATCCAGTTTTCGCAGCCCCAAGAAGGTACATAACATGGCAGGAACTCCCAAATACCTCTCAGTCCTATCTCTTAATGTTAACGGACTGAACTCTCCAATTAAGCGACATAGACTGTCTAGTTGGATTAAAAAACAAGACCCTTCTATCTGCTGCCTGCAAGAGTCACATCTTGCCCGTAAAAACAAACACATTTTCAATGTTAAAGGCTGGAACAAAATCTACCAAGCAAACGGACCCCTTAAACAGGCGGGAGTTGCAATCCTAATATCAGATAAAATAGACTTCAAATTAAAATTCGTGAGAAGAGATAAAGAAGGTCGCTACATACTAATTAAAGGATCTCTCCTTCAGGAGGATATTACAATTCTAAATATCTATTCGCCAAACAATGGAGCACCCAAATTTATCAAAGAAACACTACTTTCCCTCAAATCCCATATAGATCCAAAGACATTAATTGTTGGGGATTTTAACACACCACTCTCCCCACTAGATAGATCAACTCGGCAAAAACTCAACAGAGAAACCGCAGATCTAAACAGCTGCATAGATCAACTAGACTTAACAGACATCTACCGAACATTTCACACAGCAGCATCAGAATACACGTTTTTCTCAGCAGCACATGGAACGTTTTCTAAAATAGACCACATTTTAGGCCACAAAGCAAACTTGTCTAAATTCAGAAACATTGAAGTTATACCTTGCATTCTCTCTGACCACAAGGGAATAAAATTAGAACTCAACACCAAAAGCCACCAAAGAAAGTCCGGTATCACATGGAGGCTGAACAACACACTGCTGAATCATGAGTGGGTCATGGAAGAGATTAGAAAGGAAATTCAAATGTTCATGCTATTCAACAAAAATGAACACACAAATTACCAGCTCCTTTGGGACACAGCAAAGGCAGTACTCAGAGGCAAGTTTATAGCTCTGAGTTCCTACATCAACAAATTGGAGAGATCTGAAACTAACAATTTAATGACACATCTAAACCTCCTTGAAAAAGAGCAGCAAGATAAACCCCAATCCAGTAGACGGAAAGAAATAATCAAAATTAAATCAGAATTAAATGAATTAGAATCCAAAAAAACTATAGAAAGAATCACCAAAACAAAGAGTTGGTTCTTCGAAAAACTTAACAAAATTGACAGACCCTTAGCAAATCTTATCAGAAAAAGAAGAGAACACACCCAAATTGATAAACTCAGAGATGAGAATGGAAACATCACCACGGAAACAACCAAGATTCAGAACATTATAAGGGAATACTTCTCAAAACTTTATGCTAATAAGTTTGAGAACTTGACAGAAATGGACCTCTTCCTCGCAAATATTGACATGCCAAAACTAAACCAAGATGAGTTAAACTATCTGAACAGGCCCATATCAAGCATTGAAATAGAAACAGCAATAAGAGACCTCCCAGCTAAGAAAAGTCCAGGACCAGATGGTTTTACAGCGGTATTCAACAAGGCCTTCAAAGCAGAGCTCACACCAATACTCCTCCAACTCTTCAATGAAATTGAAAGAGAAAGCTCACTACCGAACACATTCTATGAAGCCATCATAACCCTCATCCCAAAACCAGGCAGGGACTCATCAAAGAAAGAGAACTATAGACCCATTTCTTTGATGAACATTGATGCAAAACTTCTCAACAAAATTTTGGCCAACCGACTTCAACAATTCATCCAAAAAAATCATACATCACCATCAACCAGGATTCATTTCAGGGATGCAAAGCTGGTTCAATATACGCAAATCAATTAATATTATTCATCACATCAACAGGAGCAAGAACAAGAACTACATGGTTATCTCAATAGACGCAGAAAAAGCATTCAACGAGATCCAACACCCCTTTATGATGAAGGTTTTGGAAAAATTAGGAATCCATGGAACATTCCTCAATACAATAAAGGCTGTATATGACAAACCTACAGCCAGCATTATACTCAATGGTGAAAAACTAAAGCCATTTCCTCTTAACTCAGGAACAAGACAAGGATGCCCAATCTCTCCACTTCTCTTCAGTCTAGGATTAGAATGCCTAGCTACAGCAATAAGACAAGATGCAGACATAAAGGGGATCCAAATAGGGAAAGAAGAAATCAAACTCTCCCTCTTTGCAGATGACATGATCTTGTATTTAAAGAATCCCATAGACTCCACTCCCAAATTACTCAAGCTGATTCAAAACTTTGGCAAAGTAGCAGGTTATAAAATTAACCCCCAAATATCAATGGCTTTTCTGTATGCCAACAATGAGAAAAGTGTGGCTGAAATTAGGAAAGCAACCCCATTTGTAATAGCCCCACAAAAAATAAAATACCTAGGAATTAACTTAACTAAAGAAGTGAAGGACCTCTAGGATGAAAACTTTAAAATCTTGAAAAAGGAAATCAACACAGAACTTAAAAAATGGCAAAACCTCCCATGCTCCTGGATTGGAAAGATTAACATCATGAAAATGGCAATACTTCCCAAGGCTATCTACAAATTCAACGCAATACCTATCAAAATTCCACCCTCATTCTTCAAGGAAATTGAAGAGGCAATCCAAAAATTCATATGGAACAATAAAAGACCCCGAAGAGCAAAAACGCTCCTCAGCGGAAAGAACACTGCTGGAGGAATATCAATACCAAATTTCAAACTCTACTATAAAGCCATAGTAATCAAAACAGCTTGGTATTGGCATAAGAACAGACCTCAGGACCAATGGAATAGAATTGAAAACCCAGAAATGAACCTACAGACCTATAGCCATCTAATCTTCGATAAGGGAGCTAAAACAATAGAATGGAAGACAGACAGCCTCTTCAGTAAATGGTGCTGGCAAAACTGGTTAACTACATGTAGAAAACTAAAGCTAGATCCTTATATATCACCCTGCACCAGAATCAACTCCAAATGGATCAAAGACCTTGAACTCAAAGCAGACACTCTGAAAACATTACAGGATGGAATAGGAGAAACCCTGTGTCTCCTTGGCTCAGGCCGAAATTTTCTGAATAGAGACCCAGAAACACAACAAATCAAAGAAAGGTTGGACAAATGGGATTGCATAAGGTTGCAGAGCTTCTGCAGGGCAAATGACATAGCTAGCAAGATCAATAGAAAGCCCACGGATTGGGAGAAGATCTTTACTAGCCATACAAGGGACAAGGGTCTCATATCTAAAATATACTTGGAACTCAAAAAATTAAACCCCCCAACAACAAATCCTCAAAGAAACAACTGCCCAATAAGTAAGTGGGCGAAAGACTTAAAGAGAAGCTTCTCTGAAGAAGAAAGAAGGATGGGCAATAGACACATGAAGAAATGTTCAACATCCCTAGCCATAAAAGAAATGCAAATCAAAACAACATTGAGATATCACCTCACTCCAGTTAGAATGGCAAAAATCAAGAACTCTAACAACAACAGATGCTGGAGGGGATGTGGACAGAAAGGAACCTTACTTCATTGTTGGTGGGAATGTAAACTTGTTCAACCACTTTGGAAAGCAGTATGGAGGTTCCTCAAAAGACTTCACATAGAACTCCCCTATGACCCAGCAATCCCACTTTTGGGCATTTACCCTAATGTTTACAAAAAAGACCACACTAAAGCTACCAGCACAACTATGTTTATTGCAGCATTATTTACCATAGCTAAGATATGGAACCAACCCAGATGCCCCTCAGTAATTGAATGGATCAAGAAAATGTGGTATATATACACAATGGAATTCTATGCCTCCATCAGAAAGAATGACATTTCCCCATTTGTTAGGAAATGGAAAGGCTTGGAAAAAATTATATTAAGTGAAGTAAGCCAGGCCCAAAGAAACATAGGTCCATGGTTTCCCTTATTTGCACTATCTAGTATAGGTATGAGTCAAGCGGAAAAAGTCAGATAATGTGATGTTAGGAAAACGAACCCTCAAATATGTATTTTAATTTTGTTTCTTTCATGCATGTGTTTCTAACGCATTTATAAGATTATTTCTTTGTTGCTTTGTATGTCCCTCCCCCACAGCGTAACCCTCGCTTTCACTATATTTGATGTCAGTATAACATGTGGAGGAGACGGGGACAAACAAGTCGTTTAAGGATTCAGGTGGACCTGTTGCAACAATGAGAAGTACAAAATGTCATGTCAAAACCAGCTTTACAATGTCGGTGTGGGGGGGAGAGGGGGGTATGATTGGGTGGGGGGAAGGGGGGAGGCTGGGAAGGGAGGTGAAGGGTAAACAAAGGAGGAGGCTGCAATGCTTGGTAAGAAATGTATGCATTATCCTGCCCATGTAATTGTAACCCCTCTGTACAGTATGTTCTCAAATAAAATAAAATAAAATTAAAAAAAAATTTAAATCTACTAGACGGCTCTTTTCTAAGTTTGGGGTAGGGAAAAAAAGAAAATATAGATAAGCACAAAC